AAGGCCAGTTCCAGTTTGGTCCGCAATGGGCAGCTCCTTTTTTACTCACAGAGGCCTAAAAAGCCTAAAAAGCTCTGGATTTACTCATACTATTTCCCCACCCAGAATTTCCCCAGGAAATATCTTTTAGGGATGGGGAGAGGGGAAACGTAGGAGAAAAACATAGGATTCCATTTGTGAAGGAGTCCCCTGTACTTATCTTTTTGAGTTGCCATATTTTCCAGAAACACTGGACCCAGAGCATGCAGGAGGCCCTAAATGTGTCAAGGACGAAGCCCTCCCTGAGCTGACATAATTTGTTGTTGCACCCCAAGTGTGCACCACCCCAAGGTGCACACTCCCAGTGTGTCCTTGGGAGACAAGTCAGGTGCCCATCAGTCTGTGCCAGGCTGGGATAATACTTGTGCCGCTAGGGTCCCTTGCAGATAAACCGACCCTCTTATCTAGTAGCAGGTCCCAACGGAAAAGAACAAGGCTTTTTGCCATCACCTTGCTCCTCCCTGTGGGGACTGGTCTTGCCTTTTTTCCCACCTTTGCTGCCCTGTTCCCCCTCCCCTGTCACGCCCCTTCCTGGTATCCCCTCCTCCCTTTGTCCTGCAGTTACAAAAAAGTAGACTTTGGTAAAGATTGGGAACCCTCTGGGTTCCACATGCACGTTCATTTCTCTTGTAATAAACCTGGTTTTCACATAAGTCTCGTGACATTGTGATTGCCTGTTGACATCTTCCACCCCCACAAAAGGGAAGAGACCAGAAGGAAGGTCAGACAAGCAGGGCACCTTCAAATGTTACACGCTGAATTTGTTTTATTTAAAAAGAAAAGCAAATTCTAGATAGAGATCCAGAATTTCAAAAACAATCCTCTTCTGTTCTACCATGTGTATAGAAATGCTCATGATATTTGGCATTTGTTCAGGACAAAAAAGAAGAAATGAGCACAAAATTTAAATAAATATTATAACCTTGGGTGGAAAAAGAAACAGCTGAAAGGAAGAGTTGCAGCACCTGGGCAGACACAGTGAAACAGCTGAGAGGGAGGTAGACCAGAACCAGCAGTCAAAAGAGTTCAGGAGGAACTGAGAGGCTCGGAGTTCAAACGGGGAAGGAAATCTGTGAGCCGAGTTTTTGTCGTTCAGTCGTTTCAGTCATGTTCAGCTCTTTGAGAGAACCTTTTGGGGTTTTCTTGGCAAAGATGCTGGAATGTTTTGCCCTTTCCTTCTCCAGCTCATTTTACAGATGAAGAAATGGAGGCAAACAGGGTTAAGTGACTTGCGTAGGGTCATACTGCTAGTAAGGGTCTGGGGCCAAATTTGAACTCAGGTCCTTCCTGACTCCAGGCCTTTCTCTATATCCACTGGGCAACATAGGTCTTGAACTTACTGAAGGAGAAGAAAAAGGAGCTGGAGATCCACAGATGACATAACAAGGACTTGGAAGGAGGGAATGAATTTTAAAGGTGAGGTGGGTGCTGAGTGACAGTGGTAAAGAGAGCCTGAAAGTGGTGATGAAGGAATGAAGGAATATGCCAACCCCTCCTCTTGGCCCTGAGAGTCAGGGACTATAAGAAGAACAGCTAACCTTGAAGAAAGTATCAACAGATGGATGTCTTCAGGAGGATGAGATCTGACACAGAGGATTCCAGAGGACACAGTAGAAAGGGAAGTTAGAAGAGAGGAGCTGGTAGAAGGCTAAGTCTAAGATTAGGGCTAGAGCTTTACAGGGAGCGACAAGTGTGGTGCCTGCTGACTCCCCTGCAAATCCTGCCCAGTCTATGTGCTATATGTCCCTACACCAAGCCTTGTACTGGATGCAGTCTGCCCTCATGGGATGGCAGGCCCCAGTGTCAGAACATGATGGCCACAAGACCCTGGCCAGTGCTAGCCTGGGGACTAGGTAAGAGAGGGCTACATGTCCAACCAATGTTCTTCTGGGGGAAAAAAGTGAGTCCCCTGGAGACTGGCATCTGATTATAAAGTCCTAGCTACCCCATGCTTCTAGCTTCATCTGGGAAGCTAAGAATTTGGATTGTTTTGTACTGCCTAGGGTTTCCCCTGAAAACATATAGCTTGTCTCTAGGTCTCTACAGAGATGGGTAGAAGGGGTCCTCAGCTCCTATGTAGGCACTGGCATGGACCATATATCTTGAATAAAGAACAGCCTTTATTTTACCCCTCTATTTCAGACAAAATATAAAACAAAGGATTTTCTGGAGCCCACAAATAATCCAAGCAATTCCTCCCCAGGGACTCTTCTAGTCCTTTTAACTCATAGTACCACTCTATGTTTGAGACTTCCCTAGATGCACCTTAGAGAGATGGCTGCTTGGTCCTATGCTAACCTAGGGGCATATATAGTCCTTCAAACTTGTACTACCACCCTAAGTTTTAGGGCTCCCCCTCCGAGGGAATTTTGCACTTGAGTTTCCCATTGGACCTGGATAATCCATAGAACTCAGTGGAGGATGATGTCTGGATTTGCTTCCTTACTTCCTCACTTCCATAATGACTCACTTACATTCTACTTCTCCGGCTCTAGGGCCTGTGCTTGCTTCCTCTTCTCGCTAGAAAGCTAGGATCAGGAATTCTGGGAGAACTTCTCTGTTGAAATCCAGGTCCAGATTTTCAAATAAGACTTCTTGGGAGTCTAGATCCAGGAATTTTCACTACTCCATTGCTACTATCTCTGGGGCTGGGGACCAAAAAGTCCCCTCAGGCAGGATTAATTTAGCTTCTATGTCATTGCCTCTTCCTAACTTCATCTCTGGGATAGAGGGATTCTACCACTACTATCTTTGGGGTCAAGGAGTTCCCTGGGGGCCTGTGTTAATGCAGCAGGCTCCACCTTTCAGGAACTTGGTTCCTTTCTGAAATAGTACCTTTCTCTTTTTTTTTCAGGCTCACTTCTAGTCCTGGGAACGCTGTGCTAGATCTGTCCCTTTTATGGGCCTTGGTCTAAGGATAAAGCTCAGATCTACAATAACCCTGATCCAATCATCTTTAGTGAAGTATAAATGGGTCAAGTGCCCCTCAAAACATCATAAATCATCTCATTATGGTATTCATGGGACTCTCTGAATCCTCTATAAGGAGATGTCTTCAAAGACAGAGCAAAGGCCTTATTCAACTTCTAGTTACCCAATCTCTCTCTCTCTCTCTCTCTCTCTCTCTCTCTCTCTCTCTTTCTTTCTCTTTCTCTCTATTTTTCCACCCAAGGTATTTTAAGAAGCTTTTTTTTTTTAAAGCTCACATTTATATAGAACTTCAAAGTTATAACAAGGACTATATACATACATGATCTCATTTGATGCTCAAAGCAACCCCATAAGGCAGGTGCAATTATTGTCACCATATTACATGTGAGGAAGCCTTAGAGAGGTCAGGTGACTGGTCCATGTTCACACAACTAACTAATAAGAATCAGAGACAGTACTGGAACTCAGGTCTCTCTTTACTTTAAGTCTACAGTGATGATAAATGCTACACACCTCCTGACAGAGAGGTGATGGACTAAGTCTGCAGGAGATAATTTTTGGACACGGCCAATGTGGGGATTTGCTTTGCTTGACTATGTTTGTTACAAGAGCTTTCTTTTTCTTTTTTTCAGGGGGAGAGGTGGAGGAGGTAAGAGGGAGAAAAAAATCAATGCTTCATAATTGAAAAAAAATTAATTCTAAATCCATTTTGTAGGCTCAGATTCTGCATCATATTATATATAGTTTTCCACAGTTGGTTACTGTGTTGCCTTTTATAACTGATTTGTATACCCTTTAGAAAGTTCTATACTGTATAATGCATAGATATAGCATTTGTAGCTGATTAAATATGGCATTTATGATAATTTCCAGAAAAATCTGGGCACTAGGCCCTGGGTCAAGGGTGTAACCATTTACTATAGCACTGTTTCTTTTAAAAATGTATTTATTTTTTAAAAGTTTTTTTTCCATGCTATTTTTACATCCTAGTCATTTCCTGATAGCCCATCTATAACACCCCCACACCCAAAAACAGTTTAAAAAAAAAGGCAATGTGGCAAAATGTATTAGCTCTGGATTCAGAAGACCTGGGCTGAAATCCCACTTGTGAAAATTATTCTGTAGGACCTTGGGCAAAGCACTTATGGGAGATACCTCAGAGGCTTTGTTGTCTAACACTTTTATTTTGTTGTTCAGTCACGTCCAACTCTTCCTGGCCCCATTTGGGGTTTTCTTGGCAGAGATACTGGAATGGTTTGCCATTTCCTTCTGCAGCTCATTTTACAGATGAGGAAACTGAGGCAAACAGGGTTAAGTGACTTGCCCAGGGTCCCACAGCTAGGAAGTGTCTGAGACCCTGTCTGAACTCAAGCCTTCCTAGCTCCAGGACTAGCACTCTATGCACTGTGTCATCTAGGGGCCCACAGAGAGAAGTACCTTCTTTCTTACTCAGAAGAGATTAAGATATTGATCTGGAGAGAAAGACATCCTTTCAATCTTTCGTGTGGAGCGGTCAAAGAAGGAATTGAATATTGTTCTATTTGTAGAAATATAATGTTAACCTCAAACTGTATTTTGGCACAAAGGGACATTTTCCTTGTCCGTGAGCCCATATACATGTTATTACCTTAAATAATCTTGGGGTAGAGAGCTGTCCAAAGGCATGGGAGGGATTATACCAGTTTGGCCATTTCTCTCTAGGCTAGAAATTCTTGGATTTAGAATAATAACAAATTAATAAAAATGGTTTCTGGTAGACTGGTGTCTAAGATGCAGGGTATATTATGAAAGCTTTTTTTCTTTGACAGTATCTTAACTGATCATTCTTTTGGCCCATGACTGAGACCATCAGATAGTTATTGCTGAATCTTCCTCCTCCGATGGATATGGTAGCATTGATTACAAGCTTTGGAAGGTATATGGGAAATTTTTCCTTTCTGCCTCCAAAAAGGGTTTTGATTTCCATCCTTTTTTCTCTTTCCTACTGAAGAATATACCATCTAACCCATTCCCTACTCTCTCCCTTTTAGGGTCACACTAACATGGTTCCTTCCAAGGTTGGAAAAACCTCACCCAATCCCTCAGAATCATACCCTTTGTGCCTGAGGAGACCACTCATGTCATCTCATCTTTGCCTGGTAAGTCCCCCAAAGGTCACCTAATCTGGGTCTGGGAAACCCCCAATACAACCAAGTTTGCATCATATGTTTTTGAAGAGTCCCAACAGGCCACTCTCATGCTATGCTATAGGTTTCTAGATAGTTCCCCTAACTCTTAGGGCAGGGGCCCCCACGAAGCCTCGCAGACATCCCCTCTTCACTCATTGGCTTATATTTGATGTATAGGAGGACTGCTAAGGGAGAAAAAGCATTAGATCTGAATTCAGAAGTTCAAAACTTGGGTCTGCTATTCATGTTGGCTCTGCTACTTAGAGTCAGCTAGGTAGCATAGTGGATGGAGTCCTGGACTTGGAGGCAAGAGGAGCTGAGTTCAGATGTTTGCTGGCCATGTGACACTGGGCAAATCACTTTACCTCTGTAAGCCAGAGTTTTCTCATCTATAAAATGAGGGGGTTGGACCTGATGGTCTTTAAGGCCCCTTCTAGCTCAGATTCTATGATCTTCTACTTATTATCCAAGTGACCTTGGGTAGTCACTTAACCTCTCAGGGCCTCAATTACCTTGTCAATAAAATGAGAGAGTTGGACTAGATGATATCTAAGGTCACTTCCAACTCGAATTCTGTGCTCTTGGATTTTTTTTTTTCCTTTAAGACTCTAGTTCTGACTGAATATAGACCTAGAGGATCCCTCACCTAGTTCTAGATCAGGAAATGGGATAAACCCCAGGATTAGGTCCCTTTTCTTACATAAATTCAACAAACCTTCTTCAAAGTAGACTTATCATGGGCAGTCTTTCCTTGAGAATCATTGGCCAGAAAAATTCCACTGTTAGGTTTATCAAGGGGTAGATCAAATTTTCAAGATATCCTTGGCTTCAACCCAACTCCTACCTAGGAAATGCCATTACTGACCTTTTCAGTGAGCACTCCTGAATATTTTGCTAATTTGATTCCTTGCCCTATATCCTGCTCTGTGTCCAGGCTAAATCCTATCCAAAATATCATGCTGCCTCTCACTGAAGCCTACAACACCTGGTATTACCAGGCAGTCTTGAATCCAGCTCTAATAAGGCTGGACCCTGATTAATTCTCAAAACAAACAAAATCAGGTATGTTCAGGATATGATGACCACAAATTCTGTGGATCTGCATGCCTAAAACCTTCATACATGAGCCCCCACCAATGTGCTTATCTTTGATAGTCATAGGACATAATCACTTCAAAGCAAAGACATTTAATTAAGTGGTAACTTAAGAAAAGTAGCAACAAAATAAAACATTTTCTAACCAAAGGATAATCTCCCATGAAGGGCCTTAGTGGAAAGAATTGACATGCATAGGGGTCTTCATATATAAGTCTTCATGTAGGGGATATATGTGTACACATAGAGAGACAACTCATGCCTCTGAGGCTGCTGGACTGCTTAATGACTTCTGGCGATGTCATCATGCTGCTTCCACTAGGCTTGCTTGAAGTATCTCTTGAACTGACTTCATAATCTCTTCTGAACCCAGCTCATCTGGACATGTAGTATCTGAGAAAACAGTCTCTGCTGGTCACTGCACTACTATAGCCTCTGTTAGATACTCCTCAGTCTTGGCCACTTCTAGCATCTGACTCAGCTGAAATCTTTGGCAATCTTTCTCAGGGGAGAGTGGGTGCTACTATTCTTTCTTAGCTTAAAGCCTATAGACTTTCCCTTACTCTTTTAGAAAAATATAGGAATCCTTGGAACTAGCAAAAAGCCTCCTCTGTCTTGGTCACTCAGATACCTGCCCAGTGAAACCTCTTATCTTCCCTACAAAAGGTCACACACCCCAAATGCCATGCTTTTTAAAACAAAGAGCTGGGCTCTTTGAAATAGTTAATGTTCTCAGGTTTAATCTTTTCTTTGGTCTCTTACTGGTAAGAGATTTGAGTCCCTCTATCAGACACTTCAGGTAGGTAGGTGATGAGTGGACAGAGTACCTGGCCTGAAGTTCAAATCGGGCTGTAAGAGTCTGATTTTGGTAGACTAGGCCCCACAACCATTACCAACTAGAAAGTGCATTGGACATAGAGTTGTCCTGACTAAGATCTGGTCTTACGACCTTGAACAAATCAGTTCATCTTTTGGGGCCTCTCAATTTTATAAGCTGTAAAATAAGAGTTTGAACTAGAGACTAGAATCAGGGGTATGGATCACTTTGTAACCCTTTGACTGAATCCAAACCTCACAGAACAAATCCCCTTAATAGAAGGATTTGTTCTATAAAACTTGGACTCTGTCAAAAGGCCATACCCAGAAAACTAGAAGGCCACAAGTGGCCTCAAGGCTGCAGGTTCCTCACACCTGGTAGATGATCTCAGAGGTCCCTTTCAGCTCTACAGACTGGCTGTCAACCCAGGGCACTGCCTAACACCAGGCCACCTCCCCCCTAACCCCACCATCCCTACTTAATGAAGTATAAATCACAGTACACCACAATTTCTGGAGGATCAAAAATGTTAGGTAAGGTAAATCAAACAGTGATGAGAAGGTGCATGGTGGATGAAAGCAGGCTACAGCGTATTATTGATGTTGATTTCAGCATGTGAAATGTCCTAAAAGGTATTATTCCCAAAGACATACATGACTGAAGAAAGAGGGGAGGTTGGTTACATAGAGAGACAGAACATTAACATTTATTATTACCTGAACGTTGCACTGGTGTCCATTAGATGTTTAAGGAAGGACATCAGATGAAGAGTCTGTGAAAAATTTGTCGAAGGATATGGATAAGAACCACATAGGATGTGAAAGCCTGGAAGGATTGTGATCTTCATGTGTACTAGGCATGCTTCAGAACTGTAAGTGGTAGGTAGTGACCAAGGCTTTACTTGAGGGAGCTAACAATCTCAGGAGATGCATGTTTACTTCCTGGACAGCAGCTCATTTCCTTTCTGTGGTAACCATCATCGCCGAGTTTTATTTTGCAATCTTTTGCCAGCTGCACGACCATTTCCAGCATTCTGCCACTGTGCCATCCTCCTCCTAGGGGCCTCTCTTCCCCTCTGCAACAAGCTATTCTCTCTCCCAGCACATCTAAATTTGTGTTCAAACTATCCTCTATACTATCATTATTAAACAGCTACCCCTCCCCAATCACTCTACCCTCCCCACAATTGAATTTGCCTCAGGCACCAGAATTCCTAGTTATTGCTCTGGAGTTCATACTTTGAAGAGGTCACAGATTTAGGAAAGCTTCAGAATGAACCACTAAGAAAGTGTAGAGGCAGCTAGGTAGCACAATGGATACAGCTCCAGCCTTAAAGTCAGGAGGACCTGAGTTTAAATCTGACCTCAGACACTTGACACTTACTAGCTGCGTGACTCTGGGCAAGTCACTTAACCCCAATTGCCTCAGCAAAAAAAAAAAAAAAAAAAAGTATAGCAAGTCCTGGAGAGGATAAGCTAGGGGGAGTCTGAAAAAGAGAACCAAGTAGGACAGCATGAGACTATATTTCACTTCACTTCACCTCTCTGAAGTAAATGTTTCGAAATTCGTTACACCGCAGTCAAGGTTGTTGATGCATTGGGACAAATTGAGCATTCTACACAAAGCAGAGACAAAGTAAGGTAAGGAAAGGACTTCCAAAGCTGAGAAAGTGGGGGAAATGCCATGAATCCAAGGTAGGACATTTCCTTTTTTACTTCCTGGGAATTAGTACAAAAAAGATCCTAGCAAACAGCTAAGAATCCCCCTACCCTTCAGGTGGTGGTGGTGGGGGGAGTTGGAAGAAGAGACCCTGACATATTGCCCTATGTTCAGGAAGAGAGAGTCCCCAGGATTCTAGAGACCACTGCTAGGGAAGCAACTGTCTTAGGTGGACCATGATGTGGCCAGGTCAGGGAAGAGTTCACTGACCCTATGGCCTGTGTGTGGGGGATGAGGTGAGGGAGTCATCTGTAGAGAGATAATTCACTCCCACTGCTATCAGGTGCTATTTTAATTAATTATTCATGCTAATGAGATGCTATAGTCAGTTGTTTCCATGTCACTAAAGGAGGGTAAACACTGTCAACCCCCTTTAACTTTTGGTACCCTGGAACAAAGCCTCTCATACCCCACACTAGTAATGGCTCTGAGACACAGAAAGGATTGAGGGATGAATTGTGACTCAATTATAAAGATGGAAAAGCCAATAACAACATAGATGTGACTGAGAGCTATGGCCTAGAAATAAAATCAATGTAGGAAAAACCATCATTAATTATAAATTTCGATGATGTAATTGCTGATATATAAACCCAACTCATCCACAGAGATGTTCATAACTTTTGATTCAATGATCCCATTGACAAGATTATACCCTAAGGAGTTTATGGAGAGGGTGGGAGAGCCTATCTTAAAAAAAAATATTCCTAGCAGAACTCTTTGGTTTTTTGAAATATATTTTATTGATGTCTTTTGTTTTTATATCACCTACATTTCCTATTATATTCTACCCCCAAATACACTTTGCAGAGAGTCATCGTTTATAATAAAGAAGAAAACAAGAGAAAACAAGTTCAGCAAAACTAACCAACATAGAAAAAATCTGACATTCAATGTAGTGTCCTAAACCCATGCCCTGACCCCCTCTACAAAGAAGTACATGGGGGAAGAGGGGTCTTCTCTTGCCTTTTCTTTGGGGCCAAGCTTGATCATTATAATTTCTCAGCATTCAAGTTTCAATTGTTGTTCTTTACATTTCCATTGCATTAGTCATTGTATATATATTTTCCCCAGTTCTGCTTAATTCACTTTGCATCAGTTCATACATGTCTTTTCATGCTTCTTTGTATTCCTCATACTCATTTTTTTTCTTACAATGCAGTAATATTCCCTGACATTCATACTCCACAAGATGCCCCAATCTATGGGCATCTGCTTTGTTTCCAATTCTTTGCTACTGTAAAGTCTTAGCAGTATATCTTGCAACAGCAAAAAACTGGAAACAAATAAACTATGTGTCCATTTCTTGGGGATCTGATGAACATATTATGGAGGAGAGACAGTGAGGCATAGGGGCAAGAATTCTGGACTTGGAATCAAGAGAGACCTGGCTTTGAATCTTGTCCCCAGCATTTAATACCTGTGTGATTGTAAGGAATACTGTGTGACCTGTGTGACAGTTTCCATGCCCCAAAATGGGGATAATATTTGTACCAAATACTTCATGGGATTTTTGTCACAAGAATCAAATGTACTTGTTGTTTTAGTCATGTCCAACCTTTGTGACCCTATTTGGAGTTTTCTTAACAAAGAAACTGGAGTGGTTTGCCATTTCCTTTTCCAGCACATTTTCCAGATGAGGAAACTGAAGCCAATAGGGTTAAGTGATTTGCCTAGGGTCTCCTAGCTATTAAGTATCTGAGGCCAGATTTGAACTCCTGTAGAGGAGTCTTCCTGACTCCACTCCCAGTACTCTATCCACTTCACCACCTAACTTCCCTGTTAAATCTTTGCAAGCCATAAAACATTATCTAAATGTCAGGTATTATTATAATATATGAACTAAGTAGAATATTACTGTACCATAAGAATAGATGAGGGGCAGTTAGGTGGTGCAGTGGATAGAAAGTTGGCCTTGGAGTCAGGAGGACCTGAGTTCAAATCCAGCCTCAGACATTTGACACTAGCTGTGTGACCCTGGGCAAGTCACTTAACCCCATTGCCTAGCAAAAAAAGAAAAGAAAAAAAAATAGATGAGTTTGATGAAATTAAAGAATTATGGGAAGACTTAAATGGAGTGACATTCTGTTTGAAGTCTTAAAAGGGACACTGGCTTAGTAATCAGCAGTTAGGGTTCTAATCCTGACTCTGCCACTCACTAACTAGCTTTCTTTTTTTAGGCCTCCATTTCCTCATTTGTCAATGAGCTCTCAAATCACTTCCTGGTCTGAATCCTCTGATCCTATCTATGTTGCTAGGTAAGGAAAGTTGAACCAAAACAATAGGAAATTCACTGACCGAAACAATGTAATTAGAAGACTAATAATAACAACAATGAAACCTAGTCAAAGAAGCCGGAAGTTTAAAAGGGGCAACAGAAGAAGAGGGAAAGACTTTTGTTAAAGTAAAAACACATCTGGTGTTTTGTCATGATTAATGATCTACAAGTAACAAAAGTTTAAGGTTAGCTTTACAATGACTTTTTTAGTTTAGTTTTTGTCTTTCTTCTTGATATACCTTTTCATATTTGTACGCATTGCTGGAAATTAAAATGACGTTCATTTTGAAAAAGCCATCTACACTCATTTCATCTACTTCCTCTTCTCTCACCCATTTTTCAGCCCTTTGCAATCTGACTTCCAACCTCATCACCCAAATGAAATCGCTGTCTCTAGTTCCAAATTGCCAAGTCTTCCTTACCTCTCTCTATAACCTCTGAGGCTGTGGAATGCTTTCTCTTTCAGGACACTCTTTGTTTTCTGCCCCTTCTCTTTCAGGGTTCTCCTCCCACCGCTCTGACTGGTCCTTCTCAGCCTGCTTTTCGGGATGGTCATTCAGGTCCTGTCACCTTCACCATGGACGTAATTCAAGGAACTGGCCTGAATTCTATTATCTTCTCTCTCTACCATCTCTCCCTTGGTGATCTCATCAGCTTCTGCCGGTTCACTTATCATCTCAACAAAGAGGTCTGAGGGTGCTGGGGCCTGAGAATGCCAAGGCAGAGTCGCCTGGAATGAATTCACACACTCAAGCCATCTTTCAGTCAAGAGGCATATTCTAACGTCAATAGTAGCGGGTAGAGTTCCTTTTGAGAACTTGCAACCTAAGCTCTAGTGAATCTAGAGTTTATATAGAAAAGAGGCATGGGAAAGGAATGCCAGGAATGCTAATTAGGTACTCTAAGGGTCAAGACTCCTCAGTTCCACCTCCCCAACATAGCTCTGTTCTCCCCACTCACCACATCCAACCGAGTTCAGCCCCTCACAATTCTTCTCACCTGGACTACTGCAGGAAGCTCCTAATTGGTTTCTGTGCCCTCCCCCCGCCCCTATTCATCTGTCATCCATTCTCCACACAGCCTCCTGAAGTGCAGGTCTGACCATGCTGCCTGCTTTTGAGCAACTCTAGTGGTCCGTTGTTACTTAGAGCAAAGCTTCTTAAACTTTTTCCACTCTTGTCTGCTTTCCACCCAAGAAATTTTTACGAGACCCTGGGTATATAGGTATACAAAAAGGTATACAAATCAAACATTTACTGATAACAAGTCATAAAGAAATTTATTTTAAAACAATTCTTTAGTATACATATAATTTTACCATTTATTAACAATGAAAACAAATTTGCATACTAATGAGACGGATATGCTTGTTTATGTTTACACAAAGAATTAAATCTTGGTGGAATATTTGATACTGCAGGATGCAGAGAATGTTCAATGGTTTTCAGAGTTGATCAATATTTTGATTTTATAATCATCAATGCTGAGACTGCAACTTCACATAAATACGTACTACAAAATGGCAGAAGTATGTTTTGGCCCATTTCAGAAATTGTTGGAAATTCTGTCCTAATCCCGAGCCAAAATTCATTTAACAATATTTTAGGAAACTCAAGTTTTAAAGCTGTGTCACTTGATAACTTGGCAAATTCTTCTTGAACTTTTAATGGCAGATGACTGATATTTTTTATTTCAATTGAGTATGCCTTATGAACACAACTTGATTTTTTAGAATCAAAATTTGAAGAGAAGTATTTCTCAAACTGTCTCCAGGCACTTCAGATGATCAATTATAACACTTACAATTAAATCTTTGGGAAGGTTATTTTCAATTATAAAATAATCTGTAGCTATAAACATTTCTGAAGAACTATTTTCTACCCTATTCTTCTATATGTTAACTTTAGTAAAACTTTCAATTTTATCTTTTAACATAAATCTGTTAGAATTTTTTTCCTTGAAGTGACATGTTTAAATCATTGAGTTTTTCGAAAATATCTGACAAATAACACAGTTTTGAAAACCATAAGCATTATGAAAAAATGAACAAAATCAGATTTCTGCTCAGTCAAAAATATAACAACTTCATCTTTCAATTTCAATAATCTGTTTAAACCTTACCCTCTTGAGAGCCACCTTACCTCGTAATAATAAACTTTTATAACTGGAGTCCATGTCTTTCCAAAGCTTTCAAAACAATCCATTGTTTAGGGCACGATTTTTAATGAAATTAATGATTTTGGTAGTATCGTGAAGTACAACATCTAACTCTGGTGATATTTTTTTGCCTATGACTGCTTCCCAATGGATAATGCAGTGAGTAAAAGTGATATGTTCATTGCTACCAGCTTTAACTTTTGCTACAAATCCAACATTGCCCATCATTGCTCCAGCACCATCTGTGCAGACTCCAAAGGAATTTTTCCACTGTAAACCTTAATTTGTAAAACATTCATCGACTTTAAGATATGTATCTTCTCCTCTTGTGTGCCCTTCCAAAGGGTGACAAAACAATAATTCCTCATGTATACTTCCTTCATAAACATATCTTACATAAAGTAACAACTGTGCCATGTTAGAAATATCCGTTGTTTCATCTAACTGAGTTGCAAACTTTGGGCTGCCCTTAAGGCTAGTAATAAGCTGTTGGACTTGGTCATTACTAATTTCAGAAATTCTTTTTGAAACAGTATCATTCAGGGGTAGCTAGGTGGCACAATGGATAGAGCACTGGCCCTGAAGTCAGGAGGACCTGAGTTCAAATCCGGCCTCAGACCAAACACTTGACACTTACTAGCTGTGTGACCTTGGGCAAGTCACTTAATCCCAATTGCCTAAAAAAAAAAAGAAAAAAGAAGAAACAGTATCATTCAATAAAGGAATTTTACAAATTCCATTCCTATGAACTATTTCTGACATTTTAATAGCAGCAGGCAACACTAGATCTTCTATCACATAGGGCTTTTTAGTTTTTGCAATTAAATAATTGCAAGTTTCATAAGATGCAAGGAAATACTTTTTGTTGACAGTAACTAATTTCTCAAAACATTGTTTTTCTTTATTTGAAGATTTAAAAAGTCATTCAAAATATTCCTTTGGTTTGTTGCAGTATGCTGCATGCTTGGTATTAAGATGTCATTTTAGTTTGGCTGGTTTCATGCTCTCTGCAGCCAAAACTTTATTACAAATTAAGCAAAGAGGTTTTGCCACACCATCATCATTATTAGAAATAAATCCACATTGCAAAAATGATTCGACATATTTTCTTTTTCTTGTCAATTTAGGTGTACTACAACCTGGTAGCAAAGACTCTGATGGATTGTCATCAGTATTTTTACCTCTTCTGTCTAAATTTAGCCACTTAACCATAACTGAAAAATATTTTTGTCATAAAATATTGCTAATAATTTCTCGAGTAAATACTAGTTTTAGCTTATGAAACTACATTTATTTGTGCTTAATTAAAAAAATTGATGTTCACACTTAACACATACAGTGGTGATGGTGGAGAAATATTATTAAAGGGCTTTTGTCTTTACTTGCTGCAAGTAAACACCTATATTTCTATAAAAGAAGGGGATAACAGCAATTTTTAAAATCAAACATTCTAACACAATACAATCCAAAGATACACTAATTTGATACTTACATGCTGAGGAATGATGGTAAGAAAATATTAAAAGTCTTTATTTTCTGTAATTAAACTATTATGTTTCTGTAAGAGCAGAAAACTTTGTATATACAGTAAAAACACAGCAATTCATAACATGCAATAGTCTCAAATCTGAGCCCAGGTGTTTCTGGCAGTGTCCGTTGACATTGCATGGCATGATGGCATGTGCTGAGAAAAGTGCACATGTTGTGTGTTCAGAACCAAGGCTATGGTGAAGTCACGTGATGTAACACAGGGAAGTGCTGCCAGAAACACCTCAGATTCATTACACATTTGATTTTGAATTAATTTTTGGTTGTTAAGCATTCAGAAACCTTTTACTGTTGCCAAAATTTTCACAACCTCCACATTCAGTTATGTGACCCCATATGTGACCCACAGTTTAAGAAGTACTGACTCAGAGAACAAAATACAAATCACCCTGACACTTAAAACCATTTGCAATTTGGCTTCTGCCTTTCTAGACTTATTACATGCCTATTCCTCTTAACTTTGGTTCAGCCCAACATTTTTACTTGCTGTTCTTCCTATACAGAGTTCATCTCATCTCTGTCTTTCCACAGAGTGCCTGGAACTCACCTTCCTCCTCACCTTTACCTCTTAGAAACCCTAGATTCCTTCAAAACTCAGCTCAAAGCTGGGTGGTAGAATGACTAGAGCAGTGAACCTGGAGTCAGGAAGATGTGTATTCAAATACAACTTCAGATACTTAGTAGTTGTGTGACTCTGGGCAAGTTACTTAATGTCTGTTTGTCTCAGTTTCCTCACCTGTAAAATGGGGATAATAATGGCACCTACCTCCCAGGGTTGTTCTGAAGATAAAATGAAATAATAATCGTAAAATGCTTATCCTAGTGGCTGACACATAGTAAACACTCTTTAGATGTTAGCTTCTATTATTATTACTTACTATATGAAAACTTTCCTGCTCTCCTTCCACCCTCCCCCCAATTGCTAGCTTTCCCCTAGAACCCCAACAAATTGCTTTATATTTATTTTTATGTATACATGTCTCCTATTATAGAATGTAAGCTCCTTGAAGGGACTGGTTCATTTTTGTCTTTATACCCCCCAGAACAGAGTCTGGTACACAGAAGACACTAAATAAAAGCTTACTGATTGACTGTGATGAAAGAAAAAAAAAAAACCCAACCCTCACTCATTCCACCAGCAGCTTAAGAGGAAAGAAGTTGAAGGCAAACACAAGGTTATAACCAAATACTGAGGGTTCATTCAAAATGGGGGAGGCCTTAACGTGGGGTAGAGAAAATATAGTAGATTAAAAGTCACACTGGCATGGGAGACAAGAACAAATGTATAGTCTCTAGAAAATGTTAAAACTCAGAAATATAAGGAAATGGGGGGGGTGAAGAGGAGGTGGTGGTGGACTGTATCAGATCCATTCCCCAAATGCCCTCAAAGGTTTTCCATATCATCAACACTGTTTTAGTGCCCAAGATCCCAAGATCTCACATGATAGTTGACGCTGTAGTGGCTGTAGTGGTGAGCATGAGACCAGCTCAATACTCTTAACCCAGGGGCGCACTGATGAGGCGGGAGACAGCAAGATGGCAGAAGCTCCATTTATTAAGTGCTAGTAGCTTTCTTTTATATCCTTAGTAACACCTGATCAAAGCATGATCTCCATGTGACAGCCAATCACCAAGTCTGCTGGACACCTGCAGCCCTCGTATCAGGGGTACAAGTAGGACTTTTCTCCCAATGAGAGGACAGCCGAGCCAACCGTGGGACCTGTGCGTCAGCAAAGGAGAGGTCTTGTGAGACTTCCTTGTTTTTGCCACGCAACAGGTTGTGACCCTCAGCTCTTGCTGAGAGAAGCTAGAACTCCCATGAGAAAATTACCCTAACAGATAGTAACATGTGAATCCACCTGGGGAAAGGTGAGCTTTTTTGGACCATTCACACGTGACTTGAGCCGGAGGAGGCAGGTCATTTCCATACACACCCATATCACCAACACTGGCCATAAAAACAGGCTGAATCACCAACCAGATCTGAGCACAGAGCATAGGATGACAGGGCTAGGATGGGGACGGGAACTATTCATACCAGTGACTAGAAGGTGATTAATAGTCAAGACAGAATAAACAAAACTAAGCCAGAAAAATTCACCATCCCCAACACCCAAACCTTTGAAGACCCAAGACCCAAGCACAAAGCCTCATACAATAGAGGAAAACAAGTACATACAACTAACTTTTCAGTTGCCTTTGTTGACTCTCCAATCAGGCTACATCACTAACTGTAGGTGTCCCCTAAACTCTGTCCTGTCTTCTCTTTTCCCTCTATATTTAATTTGGTGATCTCATCAGTTCCCACAGATTCAACTACCATCTCAACTGAAAGGCTGACACAGGTCTATGTAGCCAGGATTTCCAGTCTTGTATTACTAAGTGGATATCTCAAATTATATCCCATAGACATCTCAAACTGAACACATCCAAAATAGCTCTCATTATCTTTTCCCCCAAATCCTCCCCTCTTCCCAACTTCCCTGTTCCTGTAGAGGGAACCACCATCCTCCCAGTTACTCGCACTTGCAAACTCAGTGCCATCCTGAATTTCTCAC